GCAAGACTTGGGACGAGTGGCTTCTAAAGACTTGGGACGAGTGGCTTCTCAAAGGTTGGGACGTTGTGTTTTCAAGACTTGGAACAAGTGACTTCTCAAGGCTTGGGACAAGTGACTTCTCAAGACTTGGGACGAGTGACTTCTCAAGACTTGGGACATGTGATTTTTAAAGACTTGGGACGAGTGACATCTTTCAATACTTGGGACAAGTGACTTCTCAAAACTTGGGACGAGTGACTTCTCAAGACTTGGGACAAGAACTTCTCAAGACTTGGGACGAGTGACTTCTCAAGACTTGGGACGAGTGACTTCTCAAGACTTGGGACAAGAACTTCTCAAGACTTGGGACAAGTGACTTCTCAAGACTTGGTACATGTGACTTCTCAAGACTTGGGATAAGTTACTTCTCAAGACATGGGAAGAGTGACGTCCCCAATACTTGGGACTGTGACTTTTCACGACTTGGGACGAGTGACTTCTCAAGACTTGGGACGAGTGACTTCTCAATGCTTTTGTCGAGTGACTTTGGAAGACTTGGGACAAGTGACTTCTCAAGACTTGGAACAAGTGACTTCTCAAGGCTTGGGACAAGTGATTTCTCAAGACTTGGGACAAGTGACGTCTCAAGACTTGACACAAGTGACTTCTCAAGACTTTTGACAAGTGAATTCTCAAAACTTGGGACGATCGACTTCTCAATACTTGGGACGAGTGACTTCTCAAGACTTGGGACAAGTGACATCTCAAGACTTGGGACCAGTGAATTAGCAAGACTTGGGACAATTGACTTCTCAAGACTTGAGACAAGTGACTTCTCAAGTTTTGGGACAAGTGACTTCTCAAGACTTGGGACGAGTGACTTCTCAAGACTTGGGACGAGTGACTTCTCAAGACTTGGGACGAGTGACTTCTCAAGACTTGGGACGAGTGACTTCTCAAGACTTGGGACGAGTGACTTCTCAAGACTTGGGACGAGTGACTTCTCAAGACTTGGGACGAGTGACTTCTCAAGACTTGGGACGAGTGACTTCTCAAGACTTGGGACAAGTGACATCTCAAGACTTTTGACAGGTGACTTCTCAAGACTTGGGTCAAGTGACTTCTCACGACTTGGGCCTTGCTACTTTTCGCGACTTGAGACTTGCGACTTTTCGCAACTTGGGAAATGCGACTTCCCTCGACTTGGGACATTCGACTTCTCACTACTTGGGACATTCGACTTCCGACGACTTGTGACATGCGTCTTCTCATGACTTAGGATTTGCGACTTTACGAAACTTGGGACAAGCGACTTCTCACGACTTGGGACATGTGACTTCTCACGACTTGGGACATGCAACTTCTCTCGACTTGTGACACGCGACTTCTCACGACTTGAGACATGCGACTTCTCACGACTAGAGACATTCTACTTTTCAAGTTTTGCGACTTGCGACTTCTCGGAACTTGGGACATGCGACTTTTCACGACTTGAGACAGGCGATTTCTCAAAAGAAAATTTTTGAAATTTTTTCAAATCTATTTAGTTTTGTGCTCCATTTGGAAGATTTGCAGCATTTTTAGATTTTTTGAATAATTTTAAAATTTCCGTCTAAGTTCTCCCCACTCGATACCTGCCAGACACGTTTTCTGGCGTGGTCTTTCTCTGACGTACATGGACTCTGCTGTGCACAAGCTCTAGGAAATCCGGTCTCTCTTTGACCGTGTTTCTTACGTGCCGTCTTTGCAAGGAACGCTTCCGGCGGATACCGGTACAGTCATAGACGTTGTCCGCCAGAGGCAGTTGGAGGCAGAGAACGCGTCCGACAGAGACCTAGTGAGGAAGAGACTGAGTAAGGCAGTGAGCTGATGAGGCTGTCAACGAGTCATGCAAATACCTGCTGTGGTAGAGACGAGTTCTATAAGGAAGCTGTTATAGTGAGGTTCGGGTGAGGCAAATTTTGAAAAAAATTTAAAATTTTCGAAAATCAAAAATTGCTGGAGAACGTCTGACATACGCACAAAATCAAAAAAATTGAAAAATTTTAAAAAAAGTTTTTTGAAAATTTTTCATGTTTTTTTTTTAGTTTTGGTTGCCATTTGGAAGATTTGCAGCAGTTTTCGATTTTTTGAAAAATTTGATCATTTCCCTCAAAATTTTCCCCACCCGATTCCTGCCAGACACGTATTCTGGCGTGGCCTTTCTCTGACGTACAGGGACTCTGCTGTGCACAAGCTCTAGGAAATCCGGTCTCTCTTTGACCGTGTTTCTTACGCGCCGTCGTTGCAAGGAACGCTTCCGGCGGATACCGGTACAGGCATAGACGTCCGCCAGAGACAGTGTGAGGCAGACAGCGCGTCCGACAGAGACCTAGAGTGGAAGATACTTAGAACACTCGGTCTGTGCTTCACATGGCTCTTCTGAATGTGTCCGTGCTACACCCAACCTCTGCTTGACACGGCCTGTTTCACAAAGGGTTTCTGACGCGGTCTGTGCCTCACCCGTTTCTGCTGACACGGTCTGTGCTTCACGGAAACTGCGCTGGACACTGCCTGTGCCACACATGGCCTCCCCGTGCAGCGCTCTGTGCTTTACCCTGTCTCTGCTTGAGTCGGTCTCTGCCTCACACGTTCTCTGCTGGAGTCGGTCGGTGCCTCTCAAGTCTGTCGAAGCTGGTCTTCGTAGCGGCGGCCTGTCGGAAGTGGGGGCCGTGCATTAACGATTTGAACAGAGACATAGACCGGGTCGTTGAGAGACAGTGTGCGGCAGAGACAGCGTCTTCCAGATACCGGTTCTAGCAGGGACCGGTAGGGCAGTTTTTTCACAAAAAAAATCCAATTTTTCAAAATTTTCGAAAAATCGAAAAATGCAGGAAAATGTCCAAAAAGCGCACAAAACTAAGAAACTTTGAAAAATTCCGCAATCAATTTTTTTTCGAAAATTTGGTTATTTTCCCTTTTCACAACATTTACAACCATTTGTACATTTTTCAAATTTATCGAAAAATTGAAAAACCATTCTATTTGTCTAAACAGCCCACAAAAACAAAATTTTTCGAAACATTCGTAAATATTTTCAAAGTCCGAATTTTTCAATTTTTTTGACGTAAATACGTCTATATTTTAGGGTCAGTGTCATTCGGCAAAAATGTAACGAAAAAGTGTTACGAAACGTGTTACGAAAAAGGGAAACGAAAAAGTGCAACTTCATTGTTATGTTACCTAGGAAACGTCATCTGTTTATCAACAAATAAACAACAATGGTTACCTACATAGTTACCTTACCTTACCTTACCTTACATTACATTACATTCATCTACCACAGACCCATCTTAAGCGTAACTAATTCAAGTTAAATAAGCAATGTCTTAATCAAACTTTACTCAATTGTAAAGCATGTATAAAGGAAATATTTAGAATAAAGCCAATATATAAACTTCCTTTCCGTAAAGACGTATTTACGTCAAATTCTCCGGAACCATGGTTCCACTGACAACTTTTTAGTTTTGTGCGCTTTTTGGACATTTTCCTGCATTTTTTGTTTTTTCGAAAATTTTGATAAATTTTGAAATTTTTGTCGAAGCACAGACCAAATTTGGTTGAAACTTGGTGAGTGAGATAGTCTGGCAGAAACTGGGTGCAGGAGAGAACAGTTCTGATAGGGATGGTGTATTAAAAGCTTAGAAGAAATTGTTTAAAATTTTATGAAAAATTTTGAAGTCGGAATTTTTCAAATTTTTTTAGTTCTGTGTGCTTTTTAGACAGTTTCCTGCATCTTTTAGTTTTCGAAAATTTGAAAAAGTGTTCAAAGCTCTCCCCGCCCTATCAGCAGAAAAGGTCTCTGCTAGATTAGGCCACACCCGTTGTCTGCTGTACTCGGGACATGCCAGACCCAGTCTGTGCAAGACTCGGTCTCTTCCGGACTCGTTCTGTGCCTCACCCGGTCTTTGCTGAGATGGCCCTTCAGAGACCGTTTAATGCAGAGATCGAGTCTGGCATAAACTAAAATTTTTAGAAAATTTTGAAAAAATTTCAAGTTTAAATTTTTTCTAAAATTCTTAGTTTTGTGCTCCTTTTGAAACATTTTTTTTTCAAAACTGTTAAAAAAAATAAAAATTTGTCAAAGTGGTCTGCACCTGGCCTCCGCCGGATCTGTTCTCTGCTTTGATGTTGGCGGCAGCAATTACCTCTGACACTTCGGTATTTTTTACAGTCTCAGCAACCCAGAAGACAGCAATCTTCAATTTCAATGTACATACACTTCCATTGTAAATTTTCAAAATTACATTAATGATCATAACACCCCAGGTTTGTGATGCTGATCTTCAGTAAGAGATTATAACAACAAAAGTGCATTTCACTGAATGTGAAACAAATATTCAGTTATTCAAAAGTTAGCATATCCACTTCAATAAGTGTATTATTATTATAATACCATAATTATTGTTATGGAATTAAGCAGATAAAATAAATAGAGGATTCCAATGTATTTCATGTTATTAACTAATTTTTTTAAGTTATGATTTTATCACCAACCTGCAACTACCTAGACCTAGTTTCTCTCCTATTCATTAACATTTCCTACATTTTCCTTCATTCAAAACATAGCTCCAGTATGCATTAATTTTCACAATTCACTTAGCAAATTAAATTACTAATCATATACATTCCCCCTTCCTGATCATATGGCCGCAATTCTTGCAGTATTTTCTTTTTCCAAGTTACAAACTTGAAAGTGCTTATGGATTAAATTTTGTGTACATTCAATTAATCTTTCAAGGCCAGCCAAAGACGTGAAAGGTGGATATTTTGGGATGTTTTGCTTCTCCTGTATAACCCCAAGGCTGTTTCCCTCTGATACATATACCACGGTTTTCGCCTGTGTTTGTTTCAGTTCGTCTGTGCTAAAAGACCAAAATGAACAAGAGACTTATTACTGTGGCTATTTTCTGCGTTGTTTTAAATCTTATATCTGCTCAGAGAGCGCCGGTCTTCGGCAGTGGCGACATATCTCATCTATTACAAAATAATGCAGTAATTCAACAGCAGATAAACTGTGTTTTGGATCGAGGTCCATGTAATGAACTTGGGAGAATGCTTAAATGTAAGTTTTGTTTCCATTATAAGAGTGCTGATGTTAAGAAACAGGCTCTGGCGTATGACTTACGACGTAAGATGGCTACAATGCCGGTAGCAATGCTTTAACCACAGTATTTTTCAGTCGGATTCTTTGGTTTCAATAGACTTCCAAGGAATAAGCTCTGTGTGGCACAATGCAATGTATTAAGTTATGAAGTATCATTATAATCGTGTGCAATGCGAGTCTGTAAAGTTTCTTACAAAGTAATATGGTATATTACCTTGGTTACCATTACGAAAGTGGTTTCAGTCAGTTAACATTAGTGCTTTATAAGGTACAGTGATTCTACAGGAAGGATAACACATTTTGTTAATTGATTCATTGTGCAGTAGCTTCAATACTCCAGTCCAGAACTGTCATTTCTTTAGAATTTTAGTACAGGAAAAATCCTGCTCAATGTCTTTTTAAGTACGTACCTAGAAAGCTAAAGCTCATATTCAGCAACCAGCAGCCGAGGTCGCTGGGTTTCCCTGCTCTCTATTATTACCAAGTATAGCAAAGTCAGAATATAGCTTGGTCCAGGAGGTCTGAGAAGAGCTGGTAATGAAGTACTTTCCAACTTGGTGAAAGTACAGAATTGTTCGTCCTTGTAAACTTGCCCCTGGTATTTTAACTAAGCATCACGCCATTACAATGAAGACGTATGTCACGACTGCACAATGCTGGAAATGGCGGCGAACATAATAATTCGTGACTTAATTTTACTTTTGAAGCAAGGAAACGATAGTGACAAAACCGCTCGCTAAAACCGTCTAATTCTTTCAAAAGAACAAAAGAGCTGTCATATTAATTGCTCATGAAATAATTTCAGTCATTGTTGTAAATTTAGTATTTGATCTGTTTCATATTTTTCTCTGAAATTCTTAACACGGTCGTTTTGTTCAGTCGATAAACTGCTTTCGATTAATGCTTTCGATTGTTGCTGTCGACAGTGGCGCTCCCAGAGGTGGTTGGCCGCAACTGTCGGTCCTGCACCGCCCAGCAAGCTGCCAACGCCCGTCGCCTGGTGAACTTCATCCGTCAAAGACACCCAGACGTATACAGCGCAGTGGTAGCGCGTTACAGTGGTTGATTGTAACAGTGGCATTACGTACATACACAAACCTTCCCATTAATAAACTGTATTTCTGCACGCCAAGTTCATTTGTTTATCTTCTGGGACAATTGTGTGAAGGCATACGTCCTTACTGTTTAGAAATAAATTCACAACTCAGCCTGGTTCTTTCACAGCTAACATAACATTTTGATACATGCAGATACAGGACGACATTTTAAGTCAAATGAGGTACGTGTATGTTAATAAAAACTGTAAACAATTTAAACGAATGGTGTTTTTTTCTCAAACAAGAAAATCTCTGTCCCCAGTACACAATGAAGTTGAAACTGCTGATTCATTGAACCAATATTATTTTACGCATTGTCCATTTTGTGAAATATATTTCATATACGTCCCATTTCAAATTCTCCGTTACCAGGCAAATGGAGACCGTTAATGAGCCACTAGGCCTATAGAGTGGGAAGTTAAAGATTATATCTAATACACAGGATGTTTCGAGACTTCCATCTTCAGGGGACTGACTGACAGGTTTGTTATTTCAAATGCACAATTTTGTCAGTTTTAATATTTTTTAATGATATGAACGGTTCATCTCGCTTAGAAGATTTTACTTGTCTGACATGGATTTAGCTGACGCGTACCAGCGAAATAAATGCGACAATACAATAGTTAAAGCTAACTATTTCAATGCGGAAGTGAATCAGAGCTATTCCAAGGTGCAGCTGTCACAGAGACCCGTTCGTTGAAAAAGGGGCCAGTTGAACCGGTGATTGAAATTCAGGCCCTTGGCAGAACCCAGGAAAAGAGTTCTGCTGGTAATAAGACACACAGGAAGCTCTCGCCGTAGTTGAAGTGTCATCCGGAATAATAGCTCGTCGTCATGGAAACAAAAATAATACTTTGGAAACATTCAGGAAATTATTGAGCAAGTTAACTTCCCGGACCAAATGTGCTGACACTTTGTTGTTAGCGGGCAGATGTGGGTCACTCAAGGAGGGGAGAGAGAGCCCGATATATAGAAGGCCGGCAGGCACTCGGTCACTCACCAGACGCCGCCATGAGACACAAGTTAGCCGTCTCCCTGCTTCTGGTTGTGCTTGGGGCAGCGCTGGCCGTCAGTGCCGAGAAGCCAAAAACGTACACCTCCAAGTATGACAATGTCGACGTGGACAGCATCTTGGGAAACAGTCGCATCCTGACCAGTTACATCAAGTGCATGCTGGACGAGGGACCATGCACACCGGACGCCAGAGATCTCAAGAGTGAGTACCTTCGTGACTTCGCCTTCCCGACGTGTGGGCGACCGCCTGTGACCTTTTGGACAAATAATTTTACTGATTTTCGACGCCAATCCATCAGTTCTGTACAAATTGTTATCGAAAATACAAATAAACCAATGAAAACCTGACGATGGGAGTAGATCTAGCTGCAGGAATATTGATTGTATTAAACATATCTAAAAATGGGCAATGTCCAGCACAGCTGTGGTACAGGGGAGAGCCCTGTTATCTGCATTGCAAGAATAGCATTTATGGTTAACGGGTAGTCTATATAGTAGAGATTATTTGTTTGTAAATCATAAAATTACACTGTGGCCTAGTTATTATTTGAGGTTTTCACGGCGGTGAGTATGAAGATTTCTGTGTTCTGGGTTGTTGCGCTGTGTAGTATGGTAGATGTTTACCGACGTTTCAGAGGTCAAAAATATTGCTTCCATCATCAGGGTGTTGATTGGCATACATCTTGATCATGCCTGGCTACGTAACCACTGTCATATTTAATTATTCTTAACCTCGGTATTAGATAGGGGTTATGGCCGCCGGTACGTAATCACCTGATAAGAACGTGGATGATCCCCAGAGGCAGTCTTGTAGGCAAGAGTGACACACGCTTCGCCTGCGTTTCGAAACAATCTAGTTTCAATTGGCGTGAAAATGTTTTCACTCAAATAACAAAAATCTCTTGTGCGCTATGCGACGGAAAGTTACGACCTGTTTTATGACACTGGACATACAGAACGAAATTGTCTGCTACAAGGGAAAGTTTTTGTGGTCTCGCAGGTGAACGTCCTGGTTTGTGCCTTGAGGCAGTCACTTTCACTGCCCACACCCGTACAACACCTGCCATAAGTAATACAGCACGTGGCTAGTGAAAGTGGTCGTTCCACTACCGGGTGTTTATTCTTAGCCCACAGAATCTCCACTTAGCCTTTCCTGAGAAGCTGATCGGGACACAACAGTTGCATATGATTTGTAATTTTTCTTTAATACTTCTGGGGATGTGTCTCTGCATTCTGTCAACGCTTTGAATTCGTCTCGTTTCATATTACAAAACGCAGTCCGACGTGGGTCCTGTTTCAGTTATTTAAATAGTTATTTTCTTTTGTAGCTCACCCAAATGTATTTCGCTTTTGACCGTTCACAATGCCTACAACGCAGTTTTAAGAACAATTCTTTTGTTACAGAAACCCTTCCTGACGCACTGCAAACAGGTTGTGAGAAATGCAATGAAAAACAAAAGACAACTTCAGAGCGCGTCATCAAACACTTGATAAAGGAACGTAGCAAGGACTGGGACAGGCTCGTGAACAAATTCGATCCGAAGGGAGAGTACAAGAAGAGATACGAGTCCTTGGCGTAGGCAGCCGTGCAGCTTGCTGGACCAAACAAGAGTATTGTCTCTCTAATAAACAGTTCCACGAACGGACCACATCCATGTAATGGATAAGCTAAAAAACACGAGCAAAGTAATCTTGTTTTGCCTATGTAAAGTAAGGACAATACACGATAAATCAGTTGTTGAGACTTTCGAGTTCTCGCAGCATCTATACGTGTCTTTTCACGATGTTACGCCGTGCAGTCCGGTACAGGTTTTACCGACCTCTTTATCGTAAGCACCTATGAAACGTCGGTTAAACTTCTACCGGACTAAACGATGCGATATCCCAACAAGACAGACACCTTTAAAAATCGGTTCTTTCTAAATGTCGTAAATAACGGGGACTGAGGATTAATTTCTCTCCCCTCCACCCCAACATCACAGCCTTGTAGATTGGGAGGGCGGTGAGCCCTTAACACAGTCCTTCGACGAAACTATACGCAAATGGATCCATCAATCAATAGCGTTTTGACTGTCTGAGACAATTGTAATGTGCTATGCCTTTTGATAACGATGAGATTAAAGAATATTTTAATATTTTAATATTTTCCGTCAAATCACAATTTTAATAAGATAATAAAACATAAAATATTTAAAATATCATTTCACGTTCCGCATCGAATGATCGATTTACAAATTGGAACGTCTCCTACGACATGTTTCGGTTATATTTAACCGTCCTCAGGTATAAATTAGATTGGTGAAATTTAAAACTCGAATTACAATCATTTACAATGTTATGCAGTTTATTGAAATGTTCTTATCAGATTACTCTTATATATTAGAACGAAGGTATTGTTTTTTATATGGCGTGGTTCATCTGATGTTCAATATTAGTCTGTAAAGCAATGATTTAAATAAAAACATTAATAAATATGGAGTAATACAGAAAACAAAATGATCATTCGATGCGGAACGTGAAATGATATTTTAAATATTTTATATTTTATTATCTTATTAAAATTGTGATTTGACGGAAAATATTAAAATACTAAAATATTAACCTAATTCACAATATGATGCAAATATACTACCTTATGAGATTAAAGAAGTTAGTTTTGTGATTAATGTATTATTAATGTGTGCCTGTCGTTGCATTTCCGTGCTACTTGTTTCGTATTTTGCTTAATTTCCTTTGAAAATGCTTTGTAATAGCAGTAGAACATTTTGTCTGTGGAAATTCTAGGATGTGTCTGTGTAGTTCTGCCTATTTGAATATTTTGGTTATATTCCCTAGACTGGGGATCGGTCCACCCATTACTCTGGCGGGATTCGATCCTCTATCCCAGTGTTTAACCAGTGCAAAGTCCGTGCATACGAAAGCTCATCCAGTCAGTGCAAATTCGTCACAGTCAAATCAACAACTTCCGAACCACTAATTTTTTCTAAAGTTTCTCCGATCTGCGGCAACATTCAAATTGCCCCGTGCGGTCCCTAAGTTAAAAACAAATGCGCACTTCCGGCTTATTCCACGGTGGTTACATGCTGACTTCCTTAATTTAATCCTGCAACAGTGTATCTGAAATTTCAGAGAGAGTGTACGTACCCAGACAATGCTAAGATCATAAAAAAAGCTAATACTTCATTCACCTCATGTGGCATATGGCTGTAGACATATGTAAACACGTATAAAGTCAGCGATGATGCTAACTCGAAAGTGTGACGTCAGCACTGTTGAGAAATCGCTTCGATTTCACCCCTGCTGATTATGCAACCGTTCAGGTCACATGGAAACGCTTTGACGTCAAGGCAGTAGGATTCACGAGAGAGAGAAGGCGGTTCAGGGCATTTTACACAAACACACCAATTATAAAAGCATTAACTCTGTGCACAAAACACGTTCCTGAAACTTCATCTGTACCCAGTTTCATGATTACTAACAAGAATGTAGGATTTGAGGACATGGACAGCAATCTACTGACAAGAAGTTCTGGGAAGAATTTTTAAAGCATATTTTCCTTCCGGTGAGGCCACTCAGGACTCAGAGAATGCATGCCATAACACTCGAATTTTATCTATTTGCCTTCAAGTCTCCTACCAATTAAAAACGCATAGAAACAGCAGGGAACGAAGACGTGTTGTTCTGTATTGGCAAATAACCGCTCCCAGCCACAAGCGAAGAACACAGAGAGAATTTTATAAAAATGGGCTGAGAAAAATATTCGAAATTAAAAGAATGAAGTGGTACGAGGGTTTAAAAATTCACATGGTGAGGAAGGTCATGATTTATATATTTCGATAATATTAATCAAATATTATTATTATTGTTATTATTATCAATGATGTCACATCAGAACCCTGATTTTGGGGGCGGAGATGGTTCCCGAAGCGTCTGTGAGCTTCGTGTAAACAAAAGACGCGGCTGATTGCCAGAGATATTATTAAAAAAAAACAGAAACTAAACAGTCCGCATGATAATATGGTAGTTGATAGCATTACAACAAGCAAGCTAACAAAGAAGAAACAAAGGAGTAACAAAACAGAAAATAAATTTAAAGACAGAAACAAATACAAAATTAAAGAAGAATTAAACAAATTAAAATGAACTACCCGGAAAATTACACCGTTATTTGTGATGATTTTATAAACAAACTGTAATAAAATCATATGAAAATAAAAGTAAAAGTTTTTTAATTACAACGTGGAAACAAGGTACGTTCACAAAATGAGCGCTGCCCCCAGGACACACCGGTGCCCCTCTCCTTCATGCGTCATTCTGTTCGTCCTCATAATCGTCGTCGTCGTTTTCAATTAAATATTTCTTCCTGAAGGTGTTATCGGGGTCGTACTTATTCAGGATCCCATCCCACATGTCCCGGTGGTGCAGCTGAATGAAAGCCATCACTACGCCTGCTTGCGTCTTCTGAATTTCGCTGCATTTGCTGCATTCGGTGAGCAGCGCGTCAGGTATGGTTTCTGCAACAAACCATTCACACATGTGAGGAGGGCAGAGAGTCCGAAGACTCGAGAACGTAACACGCAGCATTCGAGCACGAGTTGCAAAACAGTGTCGCGGTTTCGAGACTTTATAGCCGTGTGACCAAGTAGAAAGTAGTTCACTTGCCATAATTAAAGACTTTTCAAATTCCTTTAGACTAAAAATTATTGTGTCAAGTAATAACGTGATCTAACACGTGATAACTAATCAGTGTTGCCACTCTTACAGGTTACATGTAAAATCTCGTACTGCAAAGCAATTCATGGAAATTAATGGACTTAGAAATTAAATTAATGTGACCGGAAAGGGTAACTTCAGGCCTCAGTGGCACACTGGGACCGTGGGTTCGAATCCCACTCAAGGCGCGGATGTTTGTCCGCGTCTCTCCGTGTTGTGCTGTCCTGGGCACAGGTTGAGGGGTTTAAATCAAAGCCTAACGTAAATTCCGTCCAGTTAAGCATTTGTCTGAAACGTTTCCTATTCAAAAATTATCTAAATCAAGGAGATGCTTTATCGCCATTGCTTTTTAAGTTTGCTTTAGAAAATGCAATTTATTTGCACTGTGACTCAGTTCTCATTTTGGCAAAAACGGGCAGCCATCGTCATTTACAACAAAATAGAAATACAGCAGAAATAGTCTTGCGTTTCCTTTTAACATTTGTGGAGGAACTGAAGCAGTTAGCCAATAATTATAACAATCCTGTCTTTCAGGAACATTTAATGCATTAACAACATTTCAGAAAAGTCAATATTCACGAAAAACTATAACGTTAAGATTAAACACGGCCATTACGAAGTAAAGAAAACAAGATTTAACAGACAAAAGAAATATGTAGCACATAAAAGCAGCAACAATTTTACAAAGAAACGTCAGCGCAGGATTATGATATGAAAAGAACATAATTGATCCAGACTTCACTGACGTCACCGTATTTTTCCAACTATTGTTAAATTATAGACACATATTTGAATAGGAAACCTAACGACACATCTATTGCATGTTATTTTGAAAGACAAGGCTTTGAAAGAACGGAGTTTAGTAAAGCAACAAATCAACTCACTCTTCAGTTCAAGCCCTTCACGAGTGCATGGTCCTTTGTCCAGCAGGCAATTATAGTAACTCCTCAGGAGACGTTCGCTCTTCAGAATTCCGTCAATGTCAATGTTGTCATATCGAGTGGTGTACTTTGTATCCGAAGCAGACGCTGATAGTTGTATCGCTCCTGCGATCACCATGACAGTCAGCGGGTACAGCATCGTTTCCACTCAGGCGCTGATGTCTTAGTAACCTAGTCCCATATAAAAGCATCTCCTGCTAGAAGTTAGCCTTCAAAGCCGGAGGTCTAAACTAGTTTAGAGCTGAGATAGCTCACTCACAGGGCCTCAGCAGACGAGAAGACCGAGGTTAGATCTCCGATACGATCAAAGGATTTTACTTTGAGCCTCTGCGTTCAGGCCGGCTATGAGGTCCACTCAGCTCCCTTTTTAATGAGTACCGGGGGTAAAGGGGCTAATTGACCTCTATCAGCAATCACCTCCAGGGGTTGTAGTGCCGTGTAGTCTGGTTGAAGTTTTCCAACGTCTCATCGCCCTGATGATGGAGGTAGCAAGGATCCCTGTAACGTCGGTAAACTTCTACCAGACTAAACGGCGGAACAACCCAGAGGACGGCCATCTTCGTACTCACAGCCGTGGAAACCTCAGATCATACAACTTTTAACGTCGTTCTTTTGGGCTGGATAGTTTAGGAAATTTGCATCAGCTGCTGTATCAATTCTACTTCAGTATTTTAATACCTGCCATAATTCATTCACTTAATGGACAAATATAATGACGCACTTTGGTTCCGTGTACGTGGATGTATAAAAAGTCGCTCAATGATGCTGAATGCTGTAATTTGTTTTGAACTTTGCTGGCATGACGTCAGTCGATAATCATAGTATTCAAATTAACTTGTAAGGGTCACCTTGTAAGCTTAATGATAAATTCTGGGTTTCGCATTTATGTATCTTTATAAAAAGCATGCAGCATACATAGTAAGTCACAGCAAACTCTTTGCACATAATAGTGATGTCGTGTAATGAGGGCACATTCATGTACGAAACGACATGGATTTCGGAGAAACATACAGTCTCCATCTTCAGAGCTGACATTAACTTACCAGATTACTTAAAAATTCACCTACTGTAGAAAACATTAGCACATGGTAATCCACTGAGTACAGTTGAGAAACTGATAGTCGCTCAGTTAGTCAACTAATTCCCCGTCTTTTAATGATCTTCGAAATCCATTAGTGAACCCTATCGTGAGTGACCAGTCCATTCCACCAAATCCTGTTTCTCTAAGATCAATTTTAATATTATCCTCTCATCTATGCCTAAGTCTCACAGGCGGCCTTCTTCTCACAGTTTACCTGAGTAAAATTCTTATTCATTTCTCATCCCCCTATGCGTACTATGTTTCCCACCCATCTCATGGGACATGACAGGTGTATTTAAAATCTTCAACTTTTATTTGAATTGTTTTCGAAAAATTGAATATTCACAGAAATTTAAAAAAATCCGATTGCATGCAAAGTTTTCTGTATATGTGATTCATTTTGTAACTAACTAGATGGCTTACCGAACCCGAAGGTTCATCATCGAACTAACCAAAGCCCTCCACCAGACCCTGTCCTGAGCCAACAAAATCCAGTCTCCTTCAACTCCTATCTCCCATAGATCCCGCCTGAGATTATCCTCCCATCTACGTCTAGGTCTCTCCAGGGGTCTCTTCCCCTCAGGCTTCCCGGTGCACACATCTTGTCCCATCCATGCGCTCTACATGCCCAGCCCATCTCATTCTTCTCGACTTAATCACCCTGACAATACTGGGGGAGGAGTACAGATTTTTAAGCTCATCATTATGCAGTTTTCTCCATGCCCCATCGTCTTCTCTCCTAGGCCTAAATATCCTCCTCAACACCCGATTCTCAAACACCTGCAATCTGTGTTCCTCCCTCTGAGTGAGAGACCATGTTTCGCGCCCATACAAAACAACAGATTCATTTTGTAACCAAGATAAAAACCAGAGAGGCGTGGAAATTAAGAATTGATCACGAGAACGGCGTTCTTCTGGGTTTCGGCGCCATCTTCAGGGCTGAATTCAGCACTGACGATGGAGACAATATGTTTCTCAGAAACGTTGGCGTCACCCGAAGAGTCCACGCGACACCAAAACCTAGACGAACTTCATCCTCACGGCCGCGAAAACCTCACACCTCACAATAAATGCGCACATGTGAACTGACGTTCTTTGTGTTGAGTTCGCAGCTCCACGAGTTGCCTCATGATGCCAAGGTGTTTTTGTTCCACTCAGTACTGTTCTAACCGGTGAGTTAATTTTTGTCCTTCTGTGAGCTTCGAGCAGAAGTGAACGTAGCAGACAGAGCTGGCTGTACGCCCTGACACACAAATTACATACTGTCTGTGGCAAGTACCTTGCTGGCAATATTCATGAACTTGTGACACACACCTTAAGAGTGGTGACATATGGGTCACGAAGAAATATACACGCATATGTGAAACATATAGTATATTACATGTTCCAGGTATATCCAGTGCAAACGATTGTAAAATTACCTCTAATAACAAATACGTAATGCGGAAAAGAAAACTAATGTACGCATGTCATGGGATATAGCATACTTTCGTTTGGTTCTTCGAAGTTACAGGGCTAGGAGCTCTATCACAAAATTTCGAAATAATTATAACCCACAAGCATTAGCAACTGAAATAGAGAAACCTAAGAAAGAAAGAAGGGATAGAAAAAAGCATGACTCACAGCCCTGATGATGGAAGTAAAAAGTACATCTGAAACGCCTGACTACACGGCGCAACATCGCAGAAGGCAGCCATCTACAAATGACATACTGTTATTAACAATCTCATAAACTTTATTATGAGCGCCTACAACATAGGCAAATTATACATCAGTGTTGCTAAATGTGTTGCCTGTAAAGCAGGCGACATATGAAACAACATGTTTATGGTATGAACGTCGTAAAACAGAGAATGATAATTTCGTCTTGGATTTAGGATAGTTGAGGGGGTACGTGCAAAAGGTGACTACAGCAAATCGTTAACCATCCGATCACGCGTGCATTGCACTCTTGCGGTAATTTCATTAACTACTGAATGAAGGTAATTTAAAATATTTATGAACAGTTACTGCGCTGAGTGATGTATCTCGTAAGGTTCTTCAACTACTGAATCTATGTAAATTTCTATGCGTCCTTGCACGAAGTGCACAGCGAGAACGAATTATGGGCTGGTCGCGTCTGTCCGTCTGCACAGTCGATTCGACTCGAGAACCATCGGACGGAAATCTGAAATTCGCATTAAATCCGCACACAAATCGACGGACGAGTATAATCGTGAGATGGACACTGAGGTGCCGCGCTCTGGTGGCCAACGTCGGAACAATCACACAAGACGGATTTAATACACGCACGCTGCAAAGAAGGCTACGACTTAAGTTGGTTGAAAAATTGTTACTGAAACTTGTTTAACCACCTGAAGCCGACACTCCTTTATAATTCAGTCCGTACCGCAAACAAAACAGCGGAAATACAAAATAAAAAGTTAATGATTGTTAAAGCGGGTGACACTTATCTTTACCGCTGGGCTTTAGAGTGTTGAAGGATAAACCAAATGTGAGGGAAGTTCACGGAACATCCGAGCTAGAACGTACCAACGTGGTCGGCGCCCATGATCTTTGCCTTCTTACGTCTTCCCAAATGATGACGGACTGACTAAAAAATATGTCAGCCCGAAGCAATAGGGAGTGTCCTGAGCAGATACGTACAGCATCTGGAGTTAACAAGGTCCACTTTTTATTTGCCTCTTAAAGTTGGTTGGAGATCAGCCAAAGAAACGATGCTAACTCGTACAAAGAGTACACTAGAACATGAAAGCGTTCGATGCTTTTCACGCGAGGTTCAGAATCACCAAGCCCGCAGTGAATTTGAAAAATGGCACTGAGATCAAACATAAAACATTAGAGTTATTTGTAATTCTGCGTAGCTGTGGACGTAAATATGTTGCGAAATTAATCACGAGACACCAGTTCACCAATTGTTCCAGACGCACAGTCGCGTTCCCGCTAAATTACCGACTCGCGGATCACAAGGTTGTAAATGTGAGCAATTTATTAAAACTTAATGGCATAGCTAAACCACAAACGCACTACGAAAATAACTAAACAAATCTCTAATAAAAATACTAAGAAACTAAATACCTAACTGTCTGATTAAATATTTAAATAATTTAATAAGTAGCTCACTAACTAATTTACCATCGTACTAAGTGTACTGCTCAAAGCCGATCAGCTATATCAAGAAACCCACGTAAATTTTTAAAGCCAGACAACTCATTATAGTTTCTGCCTGTCAGCGACCCCACCTTGAGCCAACACAAACTCTCAAATCCTACTTCTTTACCGTTCATTTTAATATTATCGTCCCTAGGTCTATCAAGAAGTTTTTTCTCTTTAGACTTTAAGATAAAATGCTGTATGCATTTCTCATCTCCCTCATGCGTCAGGACCATCTCATTCTCCGTGATTTGGCCCTCTCATAAAACTTTAGCGCCGATGACGAAAGACACTCAGAGCTGTGACGTCTTTTCCTGTACTTTAAAATGACGACGAATTGTAAGAAACTTTTTTTTTGGTTACCCTTGGCAGCCATGTTGCATCTGATTTAAATAATTACATCCCAATGAATCGGCCCTTTCCCTCCATGTGACTCTGACGTGTTTAATAAGCTAAGAGCATCTTGTAACTTTAATCCTGTCTTGTGTAACACGCCCTTGATAAAATTAAAAAGTTGTATTAATTTTTGTTGAGGACCGTTTATATATTCAGACATCACACAGAGTAAGATTATAAGGCAACTTTTTTATGCAAATTAAGTTTCTAATTAACTTACACATAAAGGATTAGGAAATCGATTCACCTCCGCTGCAATTAAGCGTCTTGTAAAGATGATGCATTATTAAGTAGTGGAATCTTTACAAAGATACGTAAAAAATTAAAGGCAATTTCATTACAGGTTTTGGCAAAATAATCACATCTGATCTCAATACGTAACCGACATGCCTTTCAAGTTTCCTGATTGCACAAGAATAACATGGTTTCCGTTGCATCTCATTTCATTCTTGCACAAATTTTCTTCTACATTGTCGCCACCGTGAGAACCTAAAATCTCAGCTAATTTTTAATAGCCTTGTTACTATGTGCAGATTTGCATGCAGGTAACACACGCCTGTTTCTGAGGGTCGGCTGTATTTCTCTTTACTTAAATATTAGTTAGGAGCAAATAGCCTTAGAAGCTGGTGCGTCTCTACGTAAAAAAAAACAGCTTGAAATCTATTAAAGTACCAGATCACTGTGAATTATGAATCCTGAAAGCGTGGATGCCCTTACGTTTATCTGTTTCAATTTGCAAAGCGGGATATGAACCCGGCCCTCCCCTTAGCAAGAAGACGGCACACTTCCACCAATAACGTCGAAATTGTACAATTAATTCAATTCGTGTTCTATTCCCCTTTACTGATTACACAAGGCGCTAGAATAGTCATTAGGGAAGTAATTATAGTAAGCAGAACAATATTAGAAATTTAAAATTCGATCACCTTTAATACGGTTTTAAATTAAGGTTAAGTAATGCTCACGAAATTGGCGTTACTTGGTTACACATAATCCACAGACCTGATATCCGAAGACCCCACTTTCATTTCTTCTTCTGCTCAGTGTTACCAACACATTAATCCTTCTTGTTGTCATGCGATGTCTTAAGTAAGGGGAATTCCCTTCAACGGATGAATTTGCATATTTGGACAAGTCCAAAGGAAAAACTTGCTTTACAGAACCTTCACAAATACAGTGTAGGTAAACTTTACTAAGTGTTTCACGTATGTAGACATGTTCAGAATAACATAATAAATGTTTTCCTGTGTACTTAGAATTATTCAGGTGACTTTCCCTTATTTATTCATGAGGTAACACCCTGACGGTTACATATCCAGTCACTTGTAAATGTGCACTGAGTGAACGTGCAGACTTCAGTTAATCTGAATAAACTGTAACCTCCCAGAATGGATTTTTAACCTTCCTATAGTTCTTATTTTATATATAAAAAAGAAAATTCTACAAGAAATAAAAATCCGACTAACCGTCTAATTTATAGATCAACAAAACTCTGAAGCAACTGGAAATAATAAGTAAGAATATTATAAAACAACAGAACATCAAACCAGAAACAGAGAGGGAAAGAATATTCAGGCCGATCACCAAGACATGGCGAGACAGAAAGTTGATGATAACAGAAAGGATAAATGTGAGGTATAAGTAATACGTCATTGTATTTCCTTGATTTCAAGACGTACTTCTTTCACATTTTAAAATTTCTGAAACTGGGTTGCGTCTTACGCTTGACGGATTTTAAGAATCGACATTGCGTATTTTTCCCTGAAAAGCTATTACTAAATCACTGATGTGTCCTATAACCGATGACGTCTTAAAACATAGCAAATACGGTAAACACAAAGGAAAAATTACTTCACACACAAATAAACAAATCATACACTTCAGTCACCACATATAGTTAAGGTTAAGCCGAGGGCTTACAGTCTAATTATCGCATGGGTATACCTGTAGGCTACTTTTCTCAGAAAATAATGAACGAGGATTGATGATTCAATGGCAGAATCTCTAACGAAAGAGTCATGATGCTATTGACTGAGTCATGATTATAGCTTGTCAAATGTAAAGACCTAAACCTGTAAGGTAGGGGCACTAGAACCCTCAAGTCATATGAAACAACCTTTAATATTCCCGAAATTATCATATTCAGAACTTGTTTTATTCTACATTCTTACCTGCTCTGCCCGCGACATATATTCTGAGAACGTGCCCCACTGTTTACCTAACACTAGGCGAACAAACGTGTCAGCAAGGCACCTGCTTATTAATCATTATTTACTCGGCAGTTCCAGGAATTCAGTGGACGAAACTCCATTATTACTAGCATGAACATTAACTGAAAGTCACCTCGAAACTGCAGCCTCATATTCTAGAAAGTCTAAGGTTAAAATCTCGGTTGGGGAACCTGCTATCCTGACTGACATTCTTCGTGGTTTGCCTCAGATCCACGAAGCGAATTTTGAACGAGTAAGTGTTAAGTAGGAAGAGATGGACACTGGATTCGGTTAGAATGTTGATACGTGTCATGGCAACTGCAACTGTGTTTTGATTTCTTATTTTTACAGCAGAAACATTGGCAACATTCACAGACACAGGAAATACGACCATTTCAAATGCTGAATATCAAGATATATTTAACACTTCAGAAAATTATACACTTTTCCATGTACTACTCTGTGTTTGGACCGTTTCAGTTACGATTAAATGCCTATCAGGAGAGTAAATTAAGAATAACTTTTTTTTAATAATATTGTATTTCCTCTTAAAATCCTTTCACACCGATTTATAACGCACGATTTAAGCCACAGAATTATTTTTAATTTCATAAGCAGAATATAAGCATAATCAGAAATATTTATTAAAATCAATAACGTGCTTATTACATGTACAGAAATGTCACTAACTAGAAACTTTCCAAACATTATCTATTTTACACATTTGAATTAAATTTTGTAAATAGAACTACAAACAAATTCATAACCGAAGATAGAATTAGTAGACGATATTTCTTTATGTTAGACTTAGAAGGTTCTAAATACGGTTCTGTAAAGTTTCTCATTATCCGGGCGACCATGATCAATTGGATAAGTACTCATATCCACGCCACTTGACTCGCGATTATTCATTTTTCTATAAATTCAAAATATAGTCGTTACTCTTTTATATTTTCATGACCAACTGCACTGCGAAGAACGGGCATTGAACGAGGCACGCTAAGAAAGACTTATTTTCCCGAATTACTCACAATACACAAGAATTGAAAAAAAAAATACAAATGCCTGGAATCGAAACAACAAAGGAACGTCTCGTACTGTAATCTCCTCCTCGAATTTTAATCATATACAGGGTGTTCATTCTTCAGCTGGTGAGATGTTCACGTCACTCTCTTTGTCTTCTGCTTCGTATTTGATCCTATAAGCACCAGACGGGTCGTATCTTGCTTCCAACTTCTCCCAGTCTTCCTTCTTGTTATCGATTAGAAAATGGATCACTTTAGTGGAACCGGACTTTTGCTTATCACTGCATTTAGAGCAGTCTGTCTCCAGGGCATCTGGAAGAGTCCCTGCCATAAACAAATTTCATTCGTCATTTTCGTAACAGCCTACCAGACATGTTCTTTTTATATATTTGTCTCAGTGTTAAATTTACAGTGCTTAATTGTCGCTGTCAAACTAGAACAAACATGAATACGTTAACTTTGGCGCACTGAAAGGCTGACCAGATATTAACGTTTCATTGTCGAAACATGTCACCAGTTAAGGTCAAATTATAATTTCTATCAAACGATAAGTCTGTTGTGTAAATAGTTCTACACGAGTCGTGAGACATTTCGGTTTCCGAGACGTCGTTTTTAATTAAATAATGGCTCTGAACAATTCCCAGGAAGTTTGTTGTTTTGATAATATATAAATCGTCACTAACCTTATGCAAGATATCTTATCTCATAATGAAACTGGAACATGGAATTTTGTTATAACGCATATAATTTATACTGATTATTTAACCAAACCAGTTTAAAATGGTAATCACGACTCGCATGTTCTTATTTGTGTCACATTTTAATCTAGATCTTCAGGAAACAAAAATGAATAACGAAAAACTAAAAAGAGGCTCGCTGGCTGGCTTCGTTTCTGCCTTGCGGCACTTCAAACACTCACTCTTCAGCTCGACGGCATCCGGGGTGCAGGGGCCTTTGTCCAACAGGCACTTGACGTAATTGTTAATGAGGCGGTTACTGCGTAAAATCTCGTCTACGTTTAAGTTGTCCCACCTGCAACACAAATTCCGTCGCGCCTTCAACGACGAACTATTTCAAATAACTTCTCGCGGCGGTTAAAATATCGGCCGCGAGGATTTTCAGGTAGAAGCCGGTGTTTCAGAAGAACATACCACCTCCATCTTCATGGGCGATGTCTCTCCAAAACGCTGGCAACTACCTAGAAGTCCACACGACCTCACGACCTAAAATATCAACGCCGATGACAAGTATGATTTTTTATCTACACTGCGCAGGATCCCAGAAGGCTGTCGTCGCCTTTATGACCGCCGTGAGAACCTGAAATCTCACAATATTTATTCTCTCTGAGGGCCAGATCCTGTGTCACAGAGATTCATGCTCAGTTCTCAGTTAAATGGACAAATTATAATGTTTACGTGTTGTAATAATTACAACATTGGAGCCATCACAGTGGCCGCGCTGGCTGAGGAGTCCTACCAAATGTCTAGATCAGTGGTCTTCAACCTTTTAACACTCGCGGCCCGGCGTCAGCCAGAAGTGAAAACCAATGCAGATAGAATTGTATTTATTAAATCTAATGTTATAAAATTACAATTGTTGGTTAGTGCGACATCTTCTGCTGCTTCTTTGTAAGCAAATTTGATGTACGTGGTTGCAGCGTTGTTTCTGAG